CAGCACTGATGAGTCTATCACTGCAGCTCCCAGCTGACTGTCTGACACAACGCCAGATGAGAACAGAGAGGGTCTTCTGCCTCCACTTTACTCTGCCAAGCCGCTCCAATTTAGCTATGCACTGCTGGTGTCTGTTTGAAGCTGCCCTGGTATATCTGATAAAGAAAAAGCAGCCTTGCAATAAATGAAAAGGAAACCCTGTTCTCACACTTTGCATCTGAAAGGCTTGTTTTTCTGTGTTCATGTTGCAGTTTGTTACTGTTGGTTACAGAGAAGATGGGAGGTGAAGTCTTTGGTTTGTGCACAAATAATAATTGCCTGCTTTTAATTTTAAAGGCAACATTATTCCTCCTCCTACACTCAATCCCCAACAAACCAGCTGCCACTTAATGCATAAGGAAGATATCAGCTGTTTAAACTCAAACAACCGTATAATGTTGAAATGAAAAAAGGCTTAAGGGCTGCACGTCTAAAGACTGATCAGAAAAGTGTCTTTCCTCTTGCATATAACAGAAAACCCACTTTATTATTAATAGTATGTGCATTTTAATCAGCGCACACACCCACGCGCCATTCTTTTTTGTTTTGCTTTGTTTTGTTTTAATATGCTTATTTGTATTCTTGTCAGCAGTCACTTGGCTTAGGTACAAAGATTTTTCAGTCTTGCCTAAAGTTGTTGTTTTTAGTCCTGCACCTAGAAACAGCACAACACAAAGCTTCCTGACGCCTTTTGGATTTCACATAAACACAACAATCACGCTGTTTTTAACATCCATGGCATTAAAATGGAGTGTAACATAAATACTTTCTTTTACTTTGTGCACAAAGAGAGATTACAAAGTGGTGGGTCTGTGAAGAGTGTGCTATTTAGTTTGTCTTATTCTTAGTGAAATGTGGTCTGTATGTGTAATATTCAGAAGACTACACATATATATGATTATATCGTATCATGTTGGAAATTCCTACTAGTTTTAAATGTGCCAAAGTGTGTCAGGTGCCAGGATCCACTCCTACAAAGACAAGCTGCTGCTGCTTGTGCTCATGTTATGTGGTTAAAGTATTTCATATATAAGAGTTCCATAAGCAGTGTTGGG